AAAATCTTACCAGTTTTTGTGAGATTATGTTAAGAAAGCTCAAGTTACCCTATGTATTGTAGTAAAAGTGTACTTCTCCAGTTGAGCTTCTGCAAATTACAAGAGACCATTGTGAAGAGCTTAATGTGTCTCTATTTTTGTCTTAACTGTTGCAATATTTCATACAATAGATGACAGTTACCTGATGAATGCCACACAAGTGACTGATACATTGTAATTAAGTTATAAAAATACAAATGTATAATCCATTCAAGAGCTGTATCTCTGGACTTTTATATATAGTTTTGTTGCTGAGGGAAACAGACAAATGGACCACAACCAAAAGACAACTGGCTTTTATATAAATGTATGTATATATATTAGACTAGCTTTGCTAGACCTGTCAGCAAATGACAGGTTAATGTTTTGTAAAAAAAAATAAAATAGGACCCATCTTTCCTTTGTTCACCAAACTTTCCCCCTTCATATAAAAGACAAACAATCACACATTGAGAAAATAAAAACATTTTCCAAGTACACTAAAAAAAATCAATAAGATTGTGCAAACTTAAATTAACCCATTAACTGCTGATTCGCCATATAGGCAGTTTAATACGAGTGTACCATATATAGTGTACAACTTGCAAAAATTCCACAAGTTTACAGCAGCCGCAGCCAATGAGTTAAAAATGACTCATAATATGAATGTTACACACACAAAATGACAACTGGCTTTTACATATATTAGATTTTAATCAGCAGAAAAAAAGAATAGTATCATGATAAAGTTCGTAACTTTTATATAACTGTAAGGAAATCATAATAAACTGGTACATAAATGTATATTTTTTACTCTTCAGTTTATTCTCTATATTATGACAATATTACAAATCCATTTATATTTATTTCACATGAACCAGAAAGTATTTTTCTAATTACATCATATAACTTAAAAATGACAGTTTATATGCCAAAACCAATAGGTATAAGGATTATGATAAAAATTATATCACAAAGTTTAAATATTAAAATTAATTTCAAGTACCACCATTAGGTAAGACTAATAACAATACGTTTGGGAGAAAAAAAAGAAAAAAGTTCCATCCGAAAGAGCAATAATAAAACTGAAAAACTTCATGAAAACCTAATAAAAACATCAATAAATAATGAATTATGGTCACTAACCTCTAACTTAGACATTTTCAAAACTTGCCAAGAACTTTGAAATGTCTATGTCAAGCTAAGTTTATGCATAAACTAAAACATAAAATGATCTAAAAAAGTGGAATTCAAGCCAGCCTTCATGAACATTTCAAATTTTATAAAAATACTTAAGACAACAATATCAGGTCACAGTTTCATCTATAAGTGACACAGATGACCAGAGAGTTACCAAAATACAACTAGCTTTTATGTATATTAGATTTTATTTGTTGTTATACAATTTTTTTAAAGAAAAGTTACTAAAATGTAAAAATTTGAAACTTCTCAGTTTAGTGTAACAAAACTTCAGTAAATTATAACATCTAAAACTTCATGAGCTTGAACATATAACATGACCCCACTGTTTACATTAGCTCTACAAGAAACAGCAAATGTACTCGTGCTGTAATTTATTTATTTTTATGGAGGATGATTACTGCTCCATTATGATGATAAAACCATAAAATTAATGGAAGCCGATATTATAAATTAATAGTTGAAACTTGACGTCAAGATATGTAATTTTAAAGTTATGATAATTTCTGGAGTCAGTGCAAAATGATAAATGGTATTATTAATTTTTAATATTTTTCTCTCTTCATTCCACTATATAATGAAGATTTTGCTACAGTTAGTGTTATGGCAGCAAAAATAAGATATGCAGTATAAAGTTTTACTGAGAAAACTTGATAATTTTTTAGGAGGTCTAAGAGATTATGGAAATGAAAACTGTAAAGTGAAAAGAAATATTTTTATTCTTCTTTTTTTTTGTATCTTAACTGGAAACTGTCTGATGTGTACATGGGCTATTTTGTTTTAGGATTTTTCTCAAGAAAGGGAATAGGACACATATCCATTTTTTTAAATCTATATAGACTTTTGGGTTTGAATCTAAAGACACAAGTACTTAATCAGTTAAATGAGTCAAATATTACCTTCCACAAAGCATGCAGGTATGTATGAGGTCATTAGGGATTTAATAATAAAAGAAAGAAGAAAGGAAAATATATCTAACATTGTTCGTTATACAATTTGTTTCATTAACAAGTATCTTCAACTAGTATTATTAAAAAATCTTGCCAAGTTTCATGAAGATATACAAAATAAATTCAGAATTATGGTAAACATTATTATGTATATCTTCAGAAGGTCAGTCAGTTTCCAACCATTATAACACCTAGGATGAAATTTTGTGTATTACAAAGTTTGTATTGAGGAAGAATAAACTGGGTTAATCAAGAAAGTACTTGTATCGCTGAAGTTTCTCAGAAAGAACTTATACCGGAAATTACCAAACAAGTAGATACGCAACATATGTAATCTTAATTCCATTCTGGTATGGGATCAGTTGCTTGGGTCTTTCTTCACCATAGATTACATTTCTGTGCATCATTTCTAGTTGCACCAACCTCCCTCATATCCCTGTCCACCACATCTTTCCACCATATTCTTTGTTTTTCTTTACTTCTTTGTACCACCACAGGCATTTCAAATGCTATTCGTACTGCACATCCTTCTTCACTTTTTACTACATGACCAAACCATCTCAGTCTTGCTTCTCTTCCTTTTTCTGTGATCTTACTGACACCAACTCTTTTCTTGATATCATTTACTCATTATTATTTCTCTCAAAGATATTCTCAGTATCTATCCTAACATTCTCATCTAGTAACATCTAAAAATACCCTCTGCCTTCCTTTTCTTCTAATGGCCCAAGCTTCTGCTTCTTAAAGCACAACTGGCATAACTATTATTTTGTAAATTTTGTTCTTCAGCTTCAGCAGTAATTTTTTGTCCAGAATCACTCCTGAGACTTAAAATACAATTACTTTAATAAAATTAGTTATTCATTACTATTTCTTCTCTCAAAAAATATGTTGACTGTCAAACAACCTGCTCATTTAACTGTGTTTGTAAGAAATTACTAGATATGGACTAATAATGGTAACAGTATGTAACACTTAAGTTATTAGCTTGTTTACATGAATAGGGCTCATGTTTAGTTATGACTTGTTCTACCAAGAAAGATAGCAAAGAAATGAGTAAACAAAAGGTTACTTGTCATTATGTGCTGCTTAAACACTACCTAGTGTAGTAAGCTTTAATTTGTTGGATTTATGGATTTCTCAGCAGGCAAATATGTTTCTACTGTTTATTCCAGCCTTTACTATAAAATATAAATATATTAATAATTTTAGTGTGTCATCACTTTTAAACTTCTGTCCATATCCAACAACTTCTCACTTAAAAGGTTGTCAATTATTTTTTAATTTAAAAGGTTGTCGATTATTTTTAGGTCTTTCACAATATGATGGAATTAGAAAAAGTTCTCTCCATAATTAATTATTTCATATTACCATGATTTTAATGTTTCTTATAATAACTTCAATTTCCATCTTTTTTATCTTTACAAAGAGGTCATCTAGTATCATTCTTACCAAATAGTAAATATTGTACTGTCTTTTTTTTTCTGGGATTGATATAAATTTGTTTTCAATGAATTATATATTATCTAGAACACAGTTTAGGATTAGAAAAGTGACTTAATTCTGAATTGGTATAGTTGTAGGGTAGTTTAAAAATGTCTTAAAAGACAAAAAAAATGCTAAAAATAGAAAGACTATTCTTATGAAAATGATTGATTAGTTAAATGTATTCAATCAATTAACTAGCAAATTCCAGTATTTGCACTGCTCTAGATCCTAGTGTTCAAATTTTTGCCACCTTTATTTATATTGTACATTCTTGTAAGCGTTATTTCATAAAGTTTTATCATAATCAGTTCATTAAAGAATTTTTCATCAACTACTAGAGTACCATTTTCATTCGAAAATGGAGAGAATCACAGGATTGGAGGATCAATGAGCAAAAGCTGATTAAGAATGAAATTGTAGTATATTGAGAACTAGTACCTTTGAGGACAGAAAAACTGTATGAACTTCTAAATCTGACCATTAAAGTTAAGAAATTCACACTTTTATAAAATAGTGTCAACTAAAAGCACTGAAAATTGTATATTTTTAATGCTTTGGAGTTTAAGTATACAGGAGCAGTAGCTAAGCTCTATTTATTTCATTGAAACCTATACTCTGACAAATGAAGAAAAAGCTCAATGCATGATATCAAACAGTGGAGTGAAGAACTGCTTATACCAAAATAGGTCTCTTTTAATTATGATAATACTTAACAACAGCATAATGTTATGAATATTCACAAGTGGAATCAGTTAAAGCTAGAAGGGCTACAGTTTAGTACAACCTATAGTGTGCCTGTGAAGCCATAATTATTTTTTCACTTCTAGCCTGACTTTATGAGCCAGTGGAACATGTCAAGCAGGTTAAGATAATTATGTTAAACACTTAAATTATCATTCTAGTTAATGTTGAAAGCATACTTTCATTTATCAGCTTATTTTCACTTACAATAATGTTTTTTAGAAATAGCAACTAGTGTCATTGTTTTTTTCTTCAAGAAAACAATGTATGCATGAGATACACTTCTTGTGTAGTAAAGTTTATTTTGTAGATAAAATGTATCAAAATCATTAAAAAACCTCAGAGCTAATACAAAGAAAGTATAAGCATTTTGATAATATTGCATTACACAACAGTTTTTGAGAACTCTTTAACTTATTATTTGTTTTGTGTGGTTCCAAATTGTGTCTGGTATTTTTTTTTGTAAATTACTAAATTTCTATATTTTAATTTTCTGAATTATGGTATAACATAGAATTTTTTATTCATCTAAGTTTTATTTTCAGATATATACGGTCAGTGAAGTACTGTTATAATTACATTATATTGTTTTTACTTTTTTAGCATGACTTATGGACTTCCTCTCACACCAGCTGCAGATTCCTGTAGAACAGCTCGGCATGCTCTTTCTCTTATTGCTACTGCCAGACCCTCTGCTTTCATCACTACATTAGCTCGAGAAGTGGCACGTTTCAATACACTTGCTCAAAATGCACAAGCTTTAAATATAGCTCTTCACAACACAATTCTCAGTCGAGCAAGGCCAGAAATATTGCGTGTTGTAGAACTACTGATAGATAAGATGACTACTGATGTTTCTGATCTTCTTGTTGAGGTTAGTTAACTAACAGCCTTCTCTTCTTTTGCTGTGCATTGTTTTGGATATAAAAAAAAGTTAATAATTCTTAAATTGCGTAATAAACCTTTTGTTCATTTATATTATATGCAGGTATTCTAAAAAGGTTAATCTGAATTGTAGTTTTTAATTTAATTTATTTGTGTTGCAGGTAATGGACATATTACTTCACTGTCTTGATCCAGTCCAACTTAAAAATCGGGGTCTATCTGAAACCTTTCCTCCTATATGCAGGTATTATGGGCTGGTTGTATGTTGTTATTGTTTTCCCAACAATAACATAATTCTTATGTACTTGTAAGGATAAAAGCTTACTTTAGATGTAATCAAAAACTTACTTAAAAACTTTCAAGCAAGCAAATTAAGTACAATGTCAATGAAGTATAATTTTAAATTTGACTCAAATAGAAATTATTCTAATATACAGGTATGTCAGAGGGGTAATTAAAATAATGTAATGAACAATACACTAAAGATGTAAAATCTGTCTTCTTCTCTAGATATCCTTACCTTACATATAACTTTTGTTATTACATATAACAGAAATATTTTTTAGATTATGTTACTTGCCATACACTATCTAATCAACTGACTATTTAAAACGTATAGTATTACTTTAAAATAATCTAAAAATATACAAATAGAAAGGGAAAAATGCATGTATTTTGTGTTCAACTCATTCAAGTTAAGTAGAACAGTTGTATCAAAAAGCATTAAAACTCGATCAGTAGTCATAGATTCATTGGGAAGAAATCTTAATTTTATAAGTAGAAGAAACACAAAGAGGACAAACATGTTTATCCTGGTATGGTACTTCCCTCCTCTCACAAGATTAGTTATTCTTGTCTAGTACTGCCTTCTGTATGTGAACTTTTTTCTTTATGCATGCCACAAGCCTTCTGCTTCCCCTATTCAAATCAAATGATTCCAACATGTCTCTCATGCAAATCATCATATGTCACTTCTCCACCAATAGAAGGGTGACATACTCACATGACGCATGTGACTCCATATATATGCCTCTACTGAACTATCACTTCTTGTTTGGCAGCAGTTGTGCTTGGACATGTTCCTTTGTTTGTTTCAAGTTTTACATTCAACTTTAGTATACTTTACTTCCAAGTTTATTAAGACTGATTCTTCATTATAATGTAATCCCAGTTTATTACAGTCACATTATTGTTAATAATTTCGATTTTGGTTGACTCTTCTTGATATGAATTCTGAAGTTCATGTTACCACTTTGGGGGTCACACCTGTAACTAGCACCATGTCACAGGCCTCAAGTGCAAACAGGTACAGTAGATTTATCAGTGTTTATTTATGGGAAGATTAAATGTTACATGGGTCAACCTCTATCTCCAGACCTTGCCCCACTTTCTCTCAAATATGCTGAGCCTGTTTAGGCTGACGAGGATGTGGATCACCTATTTCCACCTCCTGATTTTGCTGTGCCTTCCCAGTTAGTCAGTTAGACCTACTACAGTCTTTTTGGATTTCATTTCTCAGGTATGTGATGTTTTATTCCTTGCTCCTATTTCCTATGAACCATGTCCTTTCTTACTACATGACCAATTTTCACATTCCTGTTTGTTTTTTTCCCCCTCCCCAGATATTCGGGTACATGCCGACTAATTTGCCTCACAATTAAATGAAGGTTTTAACATGCCTTACCCCCCACAGGCTTTGGATCAGTTTGCTTTTGCATATCATCATACAGGCTGTCCTTTTCTAGATCAACAATTGTTAGATTCCATTTTACCTGTTTAGGGGCTGTTCTGGAATCGCCTGTAAGTCTGACACATACCCAATTTTCCCACCATTGTCTTACCATCACAACGCTTTTACGTTATCTCTCTACCACCATCTTCTCTCTTAGGCTTTCCACTGAAATCCTGGGGGTTTTTCTGGTGACATCATTTCCCTTCTTTCCTCCATATTGACTCATTTGTTGTCTTTGGCTCTGGCTTTGCATACGTGGTTTATTTATTGTTGGGACAATCTAGTTCCTGATGCGACCTTAACTCGTGCCTGTTTACCAGCATCTGATCTTCAAGATTCACGTATGGCCCCATTTTTGCAGCATTATGTACTTGACATGATTCCTGAGTCCTTGGAATCACAAGTTGCATCAGTACAACAACAGTCTACCCTTTTCACTCTTGTTGCCCGTTTGTCTCAGTCAGAGCCCAATATGGCACCTGTTACAGTTTCCAGTCTTTCTCCTTCCCAACCCTTACCTGTTCCTCCTGCTTGGGGTGCCTCATCACATCATCAACAGTATCAGTGACTATCCAGTGGGTTCATGGTCTGGTGGGAGCTCTACTTGCTGATTCTCTTCATCAGAGATTATTATGTTTTTCAAGTTTTATCAGAAGGATTTATGATCCCATTTCTTTCCCCACTTCCTGTGTCTCGTATACCCGTTTCTTTCCTTCCCTCCACCTTGGGATCCAATGAACAGATAGCATTTGTTGGAGATGGTTCAGGACGTATTATCTCAGCAGGCCATCGAACCTGTTCTACATTCTTCACCAGGTTTTTATTTCAGACTCTTTATTGTTCCCATAAAAATCAGGGACTGGAGGCCTGTCATCGATTTGTCCCACCTCAATTGTTTTGCATCTTACCTTTAGGGCTTTCCTATGTTTTCTATCAGGTACTCAGAGCTTTTCCTCACCATCCTCATGTTCTGGGGCTGCAATTCCACCATCATATGGACAACTGGCTTCTTCTGGTTCATTTCAAACTGGAGTTGGCCAGCCATACTCATTAGCTTGTTCACAAAACTGCTCAGGTGGGCTGGTTAATCACATTAGAGAAGTCCTTCCTCCATCCTACCTAATATCTTGCCCATTTAGGTGCCCTTTTCAACACTCATCTCAGTTGGGCCCAACCTTCTCCTCTACAATTTTGTACCATGGAATTATTAGTTCACCAGGCCCTTTCAGCTTGCGAGGTTCTATTGCTTTTGGGAATGTGTTCTTCAATGATATCATTGGCCCTCCTTGGTTGTGTACATATTCAATCCCTGTAGTGGGCTCTTCACAATCAATGGAACCTTGCTTGGGATCCCTTGGCAGCTGCCATTACCCTTCTTCATACCTTGTTGGATGATCTGCTTTGATGGTTGGACAAGGCCCATACATCGACAGGCGTCGCACTTTGTCCTCTTCATCTGGGTTTACATTTGTTCACAGACATGTCCCATCGGGGCTTGGGTGCATGGGTCAATCACCAAGAGGCTTCGGGTCATTCATCTGTCAACAAGATACTTTGCATGTCAACGTCATCAAGCTTCTCGCAGCCAATCTGGCTTTGAATCACTTCCTTCTTCTCACCAGGCATTGTCTGGTAATTTTTCATTCCGACAATTCTATGGTGGTAGCACATATCAATCACCAAGGGGGCACCTGGTCAAGATCTCTCTGTTTTCGTACATTGGATCTCCTATATTGGGTCCCATATGCACCACATTCATCTCATTGTATGTCACGTTCCCTGTGCTTTCAATCTCATAGAGAATCATCTTTCCCACCCTGACCAAATTTATCTGATGGAGTGGTCTTTAGGTCCCACAAATTCCTTTTGTTTATCCTCCTATCCGATTAATTAATCAGGTGGTTTCTATCATCCATACCACTCCATGTCAAGTCTTTCTGATCACTTCTAATTGGCCAGCTCAACCATGGTTTCCATGATTAAACCAACTGCAACTTTTCCCTCCAGTACCCCTTCTTTATCAACCTTGGTTACCAGTTCTACATCCTGCCATTCATGTCCTTCATCGTCATGCCTGGCTTTTATCTGGTCCATGGAAAGGAGATTGGGTTTCTCCCATCAAGTAGCTTTCTTTTTAGCTATGGTACCCATTCCCAACTCTTTATTCCTTGGCAGTCTTCCTTTGTTCATGATCCATCCCCTTCTACCCCTTACCAGTTGAGTTTGATGTTTTATTCAATTGGCTTATTCCTCCTTGTCTTCTTCCTAATGTAATTTGTTCAGGATGTCTTCTCATTACAATCAACAACTCTCCTTTTCCCTCACATCTCGTCTTTGTTGGCCAGTGGAAGAAATTCTACAATTAGGCACGTGGAATACACCTTAAATGTTCATCTCCCATTATTTACACTATATCACGGTTTCTTCTTCTTCGGTTTTTCATCTTCCACTTATGGCCATTCTTCACACTTTGGTGCGACTTTGACTGGGTAAGTCTATATTCATACATTCTTTTCATTTCAGAGGCCCTTGCTTTATTTATTCTTTATAGGGTTCCCGCTCTGTGGTGAGTGGTGCCTGACTAGGTATTCTTCAATCAGAAATCTGCACTGTAAAGCCATGTTGACTTGCACCTTAACCTCAATGGCTTTGTAATGCTCACTGTTGAGGTGGGGTTTTCCCTCAAGATCACTTGTCTGTGAATAACCTCGCGATGTAATTGCTTCATAAACTTGCCTGTTCCAGGCTGTAACACCCATGGACTGCATGAGTAAAGCACAAGGGGATAGCTGCCCATCCCTGCCATGCCTTGCATTGAATAAATTCTTTTGGTCTGCTCTTCAAAATAGGGTTTTGTGGTCACTATTTTGGGTGATGACATTCCTCCGGACTCTCCAACACATTCTCACACCCCTCCCCCTTCTTCTAGTGAAGTATGGAAGTTCTTACCACTTTCCATTTCCAAGCTGTTGGGGTGGTCAACCAAAGAGGCACCCTCCTGAATTGGTTCCACACAAAGATGGCTATAACCATTCAGTGCAGAGTGGAACGGTGATGTAGATGACATGATATACTCCACTATAAGTTATACAATCACTAATGAGTGAGAAAGCAAATTGCAGTTCACCCCTTCAATTGGGAGCTCTCACCCTACCCCCATGTGGAAGTCTGTACCCCATTGCTGTGTTTTGGATTTAGTGTAGAACCAATCAACGTAAGTCCTCACACGTTTATGGTTGTCTAAATTTTTCCTTGATTATACTCTGTTGTGAGTCACAGCAGAGGTAAGGGAAATTGTTCCAGATCTGTTCTTTTTTGCTATTGCTCATGTATCTTATTCCAAGGATGTTATTACTTTTTGGATGGTTCCAGTCAGTTTCGCTGTTGGGATAGTTGGTTTATATTTAATACATTTTTTTTCCATACTGGATGTGGGGTCCCGACTCGATATATCAAAGCTAACACATCTAGTGTTCTGGAGTCGGAGTAGTCCTGTCTCCTGAACTTGAGGAGAAGATAGTATAATCTTCATCCTACTCCCACGTGGAAGTCGGTTCCCAGCAGCATAAATTTTGGATGTAGTTGACTTACCGTGTACAGACTGTCATGCCCTAGCCACTCTACACATAGGGGCACTTCCCTTGATTTACCCACTTTCATACTTTGTGGGATTAAGTTCCATATTTATTTCATGGTCAAGAATTATCCTACCTAAGTTCTCTCCCTCTTGGATGGGCAAAGAGTATATCTGGTCAAAAGTGGTGTGGTTCCTCTCATCAAATCTTTGGATCTGACTTTCTCATTTCCAGGTGTATCTTTCCTGCTCTTTCGGGGGGTACTTCTGTCATTTTCCTTGCACTGGTCTCTTCACCTCATCAGTGTGAGATTCTAGCAAATCTTGTGAGTGGAGGGAAGTACCATATCGGAAGTTATAATTTTCCTATACTGAAAATGTATTTCCGATAGGTTCTTCCCTCCACTCACACTTCCCACCCTTCCTCCCCACTTTCTGCCAAACTTCGAAGTGATAATTCAGTAGAGGCATATAGAGGGAGTCATAAGCGTCACATATGTCATACTCCTATTGGTGGTGAAGTAACACATGATGATTTACATGAGAGACATGTTGAAATCATTTGATTTGAATAGGGGGAGTAGAAGATTTGTGTCATGCGTAAAGAAAAAATTTACATTTCGAAGATAGAACTGGAAGAGAATAGATAATCTTGTGAGAAGAGGGAAGTACCTATCGGAAATACATTTTCAGTATAGGAAAATTATAACTAGTATTTACAAAATGAAATTTTTTCTGTGCACAGTCAGCAGGTTTTTCAGAATAAACAAATTTCTTTATCAGATGGAAACGAAAGTATGATAACTGAGTATTAAAACCAAAATGTAGTTAATGAAAACAGAAAAAAATACTGTTTCAGAAACACAGGCATTAAAACTAATGTGTCAAAGAGTAGAAACTGAACGTGGAGAAAATTAACATATATCATATACTATGGCCATATATAAAAGATATTTTGTTAGTTAAATATCCCAAATTCAGGAGTTAATGATTATTGTTTCAAATAATTATAAGGTTTGTAATTATGAAGAATTTTATATGGCTTACACTAGATAAGTTTGTAAAAATAATGGGTATCTTGTTTCTCTTTTATAGATTTTATAATGTTAGTTTCTGTGCATCTTCACGTCGTATTGCAGTTGGAGCAAAGAATGGAAGCTTAGTCTTATATGAGCTACGAGCTTCTAAGTCTCAGGTTTGTTACTTATTAGAAATTCATACCTGTTTGTTAATGATGATTTGTGACAAACATAACTACTATTCAAAAACTAAAATATTCTTATATAGAGGACATTTTGGCCCGTGTCATATTCCCACAAAGTTACTCATCATATTAGAAGTTGTTTATGCTTTATTCTTGGCTTTAATAATTTATTAACTATAGATTACTGTCTTTTAGGTGTCGTGTATTTTACACAAAAAGAAGTCGGATATTGAAATGAAATCTGTGCAATTCTGTAAAGAACACTAATGAAATTTGTGTAATATTTAGAATACGTAACTACATTGGATAACAAGTCACAAACAACCAGTTTAAAACTGCAGTTTCATGCTATATCAGTTCTTATGAGCCCAGCTAAGTTAAAATTATACAGAAAGTTATTTTGTTGAGCTTTATGATTAATTAAATCATGTAGGAAATGGCATGGTGTACAGTTTATTTCCATACATATAGAAAAGTGTTTTTAGCTAATTTTTTATATATGGATAAAAAGGTGAAAGAAATTATTGTAACAGATCAAAAGGTTTTAATGTTTTAAGAGTATAAGAAATATTGTTGTTGTTTTTTTCATTTTGAATTATTCATGAAATTTTGCCTCTACAAATGGAATATAGATAACATAGCTATTTCCAACAAGGTACCTTACTTTCGCTCACGTACAAAAATATTCTCGTTCTCCACTTGCATGCCACAAGCCTTTCACTCCCATGCACTCCTTGATTCACATGGTTTATCTAATTATTGCATACAAATTATCATGCGACAAACCTCCACCAATAGTAGTGCCACATACCTATCACTGTTCAACCATTTTCTCCCATTCGGGATGTGCTCCTCACAATTTTCTGCCCAGATATGTCACACCTTTTCATCATCTGGGCAAAGAGTATAACTGGAGCAGAAGTGGTGCAGTCTCCCATATATAATTCTCTTATTAGAGAGTCCCCTCATTAGTGTCTTTCGGATGCTTCTACTTTCTCCCTCGCACCAGTCCCTCCACCTGTTCAATGTGGGATTCTCGCTGTGTATGTGATAAGAAGCAAGGTACTTTGTCAGAAGTTATAATCTTCCTACACTGAAAAGGTATTTCTGGCAGGGACTTTACCTCCTCTCACACTTCCTGCCCACTGTCAAGCAGAGCTTAAGTTTCTGCTTTAACTCGAAGTGATAGTTAGGTATAATAGCATGGAGGGAATCACGTGAGTGTGTAGCAGTACTATTAGTGGAGATTTGTCGCATGAAAATTTGTAAGCAAGAATCAGTTAAACCATGTAAATCAAGGGGTGCATGGAAGTGAAAGGCTTGTGGTATGTGAAAAAAGTTTTGCAAATAGAGGGCAGCACTGAACAAGAATAGCTATGTATGTGAGCAGAAGTAAGTACCTGTTGGAAGTACATTTTCAGTGTAGGAAAATTATAACGTTTTGGATTTTCAAAAAAAATAATTATACTTTTAATGATAATTTTTTAAGTATATGTAAATGAATGAAAAACTCTTGATTTTACAATATTTTATTATAAAAGTTAAATTGCCAAATTTCAAAAACTCATTTTTGTTAACAAAGTAAAGCTTTATAAAGATTGAATCAATAGAAAAAAACATTTGTTGAGTTACAGAAGTCTTCTATATTAATTTTGCTACATTGTCAAATCCTAGATAAAAAGTCAAGCTATTTGTTTCACTTTTGGAATTGAAATGGTATTACAGAAGAAATTCTTTTGATGTGAAAATAAACTAAATAGTAGGTTTTATAAATATTTCAGTATAGTTTATTCTTAATTAATCTTATCAGGATTATATTATTTGAACTTGGTGTGTTTTTTTATACGAATCAAATTATTATTTTTTCAGAATAAATATTTATGACCTCTGCCACCAATTGTAATGGAGGTTACGTTTTCACCCCTGTGTGTGTTTCTCAGTTGGATTTCTCAAAAACGGCTAAATAGATTTTGATGAAAGTTGAAATACATTTGGACCCAACTTAATAGTTTAGTTTTTGGAGGTTTAGAGGTCACAAAAAAAAAGGCTATCTGTTAACATGGGGACTGATTTTTCACACTATTTTTGCTCTGTAACTTAGTCAAAAATGACTGGATTTTGATGCTAAAAATGAACTGTGTCCATTGATAATGCCTGACATCTGGACACATTTTTATATTTTTTAAGGGCCTAATATGAACAACTCTGCGTGGCAGAGATATGAGCTCTGCCGAGTTCCCCTCTAATATATAAATGGTTGCAATAAGGTAAAAATGCAGTAATTGTCTTGACAAATAATATTTGTTATATTGTACAAATTGTAAGATATTTTACTAACTATTATTTTGTGAATGTTTGTAAAACTGATCATTTTCAGGATAGGAATGCCAAATTCAACAGAGAAATTTATCCTATCATCCTAAGTATTTTTTCTTTAATAATGGTATGAAAATTTGAGCAGCCACTTTTGAACGTGCTTATAGAAAGAGGAAGGAGAATGAGTGCTTGAGAACCCACATCTTTCCAATATGGTCTTACCTCCTTTCACACAAAGCTATTTCGACCTTTTTCTGCCCTCGTAGCATTGCTAAAAGAATTTTCACGATCAGCAAACCAGTTTTTATACTCCATCAATTTTGTGCCATTTTTGAACATATAAATATCATGTGACTACTCTCCACCAATAGTATTGCACCACCTATATTGGTGCAGCCAGCTCCTTCTACTATTCCCACTCAATCCTCACTTTCTCGATTTGCACATCATTGTTTAGACGTGTTTTTTCACATGTGACTCCCTTTTATGAATGTTTCTTTGCCATTTCAATTTTTTCTTTAACAGTTGTATTTTAATGTGTTTGCATTCATGTTTTTCAACATTTTTTTGCACTTATTTCTTGTTACCAAATTGCAAGAGATTGTAGTATGAATTTGTAATCAATGTATTGACTTCGGTAATTCCCGTTACAATCGAAATCTGCAGAGGAGGTACAGGCCTTATATTACAGGGAGCTAGGTTCTTATGTTTGGCCAGCAATTTCTTCTTCTTTTCAATGTGACAATGTTTCTGAGGAAGAATACAATTAATGAGAAGACAATTTGGGCTCTCTGTTTTTGGCACCTTCCACCAGTTACCATGCTGCCATGTCATTCATTTTGGTGGAGAATTGTTCTTCTACTCCTTTTTTCCTGTTGCTTTCAGTTGTCCCAAGGGATCTGTGGTAAGTTTTTAACATGTACACTGGGTTGATATACCCATGGTAGGCCTGGCTCAGGTGCTCTTATTTACACATGGGGAAATTATGTATTTCACATCATCAGTGCTCGGACTTTGGCGAATTATATATTTGTGTGTCCTTGTCATGTAAGTTAAATATTGATTATTACTTTGTTTTAAAATAAATATAATCATTTTGCATGTTCATTAATATTATGTACTTTGTAGACTCGGTAAGTTTTTGGGTTTGTTAGTTTGATATTAATAAGTACTTTAACTAGGTATGTTTAGATTGTAAGTTACATATTACTACTAGTAACATCTAATTCATTGTTCTATTTCAGTAATTTTTTTATCATTGCTAACTGTGTGCCTTCTCATCCCAATTATCGTCAATGTGGGACTTAATTATGTGTCCTTTGTCATCTAGGTTAATTTAGATGACTAGTTAGTTAGATATTGATTATTAATGGGTATTCTAGGTAATTTTTATTACTTACTTTGTGGACTAGATGAATTTAGATGGTTTGTCCATTCGATAGTTTATGTGTTACATATCATTACTACTAGTAATATATAATTCACTGTTCTATCTGAATATTTTTTTCATAATTATTAACTATTTGGCTTATCTCTCCTAATCTTCATCAGCATGGGACTTAACATTTTTGCTTTATTATGTTGCTGACATGTTTGTTTCTTTCCTGTTCATGGGGCCATGCTTGGCTTTGGTTCCTTTTCCTACATTTGTGATACTAGAAACCTCATTTTCTCCTCATAACCTATGATTCAGAGTTCTTCCCCACACCCACTTTGTCAATAGTTATTTATTACTGCAAGTCAAGCTTTCCAGTTCAGGGCCCTGGTGATGACCGCCTTCCCTCTAGTCTTTCACTGCTAAATTAGGGACAGCTATTGCAGATAACCCTTGTGTAGCATTTTGCAAAATTCATAACTAACAAACAATCAGGGCCCTACCTTTTGGACTAACCTTGGCTCTTTAAGTGTTTTTCAATGGGTACAAACTCTTGCCCAACATCTTCACTCTATGAGTCTTTACACTTTTTTCTATGGATGACTGGCTCCTACTTGCTTCCTCCTAATCACACTCCACTGCTCCAACAGGATGCAGCATGGGTGGGATTCCTGATGACAGTGGGGAAGTTCATTCTTACCCCCTCTTAATACCCATTCATTTGGAGGTATCAAGCCCAGCTTCCTCCTTGGGCTTGGAGTGAGAAGTTCAGACATCCCTCACCTTTTCTTACTGCTCAAGTTGTTCTGTTTCTTTGGGGATGTGGGCTTCCTTCAAACTTCTCATTCCCATGGATCAGCCTCATGTAAATTCCATTTGGTGGATACTCCTTGATCAGTGGATCTTCTCCTCAGATCCCTGGCTTGGTGGTAAGATAGACACCAGACCATGGCAGAGGTGCTGGTTACTCCACCTCGTTCAGATTTACATCTGTTCATGAGCTCATCTTTAGAGGTTGGGATTTTTACCTCAACTCTTGAGAGATTTCCAGTCTCTAGTCTATCAAGAACTCTTCTTTCCTTATGACCTATATCAAGCCTTTGGCAGTTTGTTGAGCTTTGTCCCACTTCCTTCCTTTCCTAAAGGGGTTTATGGTTATGGTACATTCCTACATCTCCACAGTGGTCTCTTATATCACAGAGGGTACCAATTCCAAGGCTCTGTGCTTTAAGATCCTCAATTTCCTTTCTGGGCCCACAGTCACCATATTATGGTCTTAGCTTGCCATTTTCCTGGCATC